TTCACATGCTCATCACCTATAAAACTGTGCAGGTCCGCACTGCCCAAACCTTCTTTTGCACATGGCAGGTTCCTGGCTGCAAGGATTTGTGCTCAAACCCTTCCCACCCCCCAGGTAAAAATCAACCCCAAGTGGGGTGATATGGGGGGCATGGAGGCACCTGGCATGCAATGGGACCCATGGAAGGATGACAGTGTGAGATGGATGTCCCCATCACAATTCCAAAACATGGGCAGGGAAAAGTGTGGGAGCAGCCTGGGGGGTTTGTGCCCAAAACACAGCCCCAAATGCCTGGGGATGCCATTAATTCCAGCAGGAGTCTTGGTGATCTTGGGTGTGTTCCCAAGGAGAAGGGACACCCAGTGGGATGTGCCCACCAGAATGGGGATGGTTCCTTTTCTCAGCCCAAAATCACGTCCCGAGGCCAGAGGTGAAAGAACCAACAGGACAAGGATCACAACGCTGGGGACTGTCCCCATAGCAGCGAGTGCCCACCACTGAGAGATGTGGGATCTGAGGATGAGGAAAAAGGGCGAGAGGAAGAAGTGGGACCACGGGGGCTCCCCATGTTGAAAACAGGAGCTGCTGGAGGATGGCTGCAATGGCAAATGGGGAAATGAGCAGTAGAGGAACCTGCATGGGTGCTGTGCATGTACCCATGCTTTGCACGTGTGCACACACAGCCAGGACCTTCCTGCCCCTTCCAGCTGCAGCAGCACCATCCGGGACCTTTTCTCTGGGGTTGCTTCTCCCACTGGTTCCTCAGCTCCAACTCCTTTTTTTCTTCTCTCCTGTCTTTTTTTTTTGTTTTGGCCTTCTCCATGCAGGATGAGGCAGCTCCTTCTGTCCTGCAGCCTTCAAGTTTGCAAGCTGAAGGAAATGCCCTGCATTCACCCCAAGCTGCTTTTTGCACCCATAGCAGAACCACCCCACTGCTCCACAGCCGCCAACAGGTCAACCCCAACCCTGGCTACAGCCTTTCTGTGGGGCTGCTCCTCCAATTCTTAATGCCTGTTGCCTCATTTTTTCCATTGCTTCCTTCTCACACCCCAGCACCAACCTGCACAGGTGCGGATCATTATTGCTTGTGCAGGAGCACCCCCAGCCCACAGGGTTGAGCTGCCCTGTGCTGGAGTCACCCAGGTGAAGGTCCCACGGTGTGGCTGTGCTTTGGGGTCTGTCTGTGCCCAGGGAGGGTTTGGGGACACCCCAGTGCTGCTCCCCAGTCCTGTGTCGCACCGGAAGACTTTTCTTTTGGAAATTCATTTTAAAAAAAGTGTCAGAGGAAAAAAAAAAAAGAACAACCATAAATAACACCGAGATGGTTTTCTTAAGTCTCTTAAAAACAGAACAAAAAAAAAAAAAAGAAAAAAAAAAAAAAAAAAAAGGGAACAGGGGGAAGAAAAGTTGTTGTTTTCTGGTTGTTTGTTTGTTTGTTTGTTTTTTTCCCAGGCCAAAATGCTGCTGATCTCACTGAGAAATGCATAGTTGGTAGCAAAAACATCAGCTACATCAAGAGCTGGGATGGCCCCTGGGCCACTTGTGGGGTCACTGCGGGGCTGGGGCCAGCTGGGTCATCCAATCACAGAATCATTAAGGTCGGAAACGACCTCCAAGATCATCCAGTCCAACAGCCCTCGGTCCCTGACCGTGCTGCTGGCCCTGTCGATGCCCCAGGACATCACTGATGCCCCTGTGCCCCCTGGCCCCATTGTGCCACAGCCGTGCCTGGGGCCGGGCGCAGCCAACGGTTCTCCTTTGGAGAGGCTCAGATCATCTTCATGTTGAACTTCCTGGCTCCTCCTTGGCCCGTGGTGGTGGTGGGTCCATCCACCTTCCGGAAGGAATATTCCACCGAGAAATTGTTCTTGTGCTGCCCTCGGCCCCGGCTCCAAACGAAGAGGAGCAGGAAGCAGAAGAGGACCACGCCGAGGAAGGTGATGCAGCCCATGGCTGTGGACACCAGGATGGTCTTGAGATCAAGCGTGAACTTCAAGAAGACCTGCGTGTCGTTATGGTAGGTGTCATTGAACTCATTGAGGTACAAAGTCCGGTTGGCGTTGGAGGAGCCATCGTTCGGGTGTCCCTTGACCGTCAGAGTGGCAAAATAGGTGTCGTTGCCCCCTGCGTTGCTGGCAATGCAGATGTAGGTACCGCTGTCCTGCACTTGGGCAAAGCGGATCTCCAGGGTGCCCCCCGGCAGTACGACTGCTCGCCCCGTGCTGCGCGTGGTGATCATGCGGTGCTGAGGGGACACCCAGACGATGGAGGGCTCTGGCTCCCCGTCCGCCCGGCACAGGAAGGACACGGATTGCCCTTCGCGGGCCGTCACGTGCTGCAGCTTCCGATCCCTGATCTTGGGCTTCTGACAGGTGAAATACTCGAAGAGCACGGAGTCGGGGAAGTCACGCAAAGCGTTCCCCTGGATTTCAGGCGGTGTGGAGCACATGGGCTGCTGGCCGTCAAAGTTGAGCGTCTTCCGTCGCTGTAGGATCCAGAGGAGGCGGCAGTCGCAGGCCAAGGGATTCCTGTCCACCCGCAGCGTCTCCAGCGTGTTCACAGAGTGGAAGGTGCTCTCCTCCAGTGTGGAGAGAAAGTTGCTGGAGAGGTTGAGCAGACGGATTTGTCTCAGACCAGAGAAGGCCTGCGGCTCCACGGACACCAAGAGAGCGCCCACGATATGCAGCTCCTGGAGCCGGATGAGGTCTTTAAAGGAGCCCTTCAGCACAGTGCTAATGGGGTTGTAGGACAGGTTCAGGTAGCGGAGGTACACCAGGTTCCTCAAGGCAGCGGTGGGCACGGCTGTGATGTTGGTGTAGGTGATGGAGAGTGAGGTGAGGTTCAGGCCCTGGAAGCTGGTGGGGGAGATGTCTTCCAGCAGCGGCCAGTTGTCGATCTCCAGCTGCAGGAGGTTGTAGAGCTTCTTGAAGTTCTGCTCCTCCAGCGCAGAGATGCTGAGGTGCCGGAGCCGCAGCACCTCGAGGTTCTGGAGGTAGGAGAGTGACTCAGCCGAGATGGAGGTCAGATTGCACTTCTCAATGGTCAGTTGCTCCAGGCCGAGCAGCCCTGAGAAGGCGCGCTGGGAGATGTACACCAGGTCATTATCACCCACCTCCAGGCTCTTCAGGTTCCTCAGGTCCTGGAACATGTAGTCCAGAAGGATGACGAGTTTGTTCTCGCTGATGTCCAAGATGGTGAGGTTGGTCAGCTTGGTGAAGACCCCCGGGGGGATGAGCTTGAGCTGGTTTCCCCGAAGCCGCAGAGTCTGCAGGTTGAACAGGTTGCTGAAAGCTCCTGGCTCCACATTGGTGATGATGTTCTCGCTGAAGTCCAGCTCCTCCAGCAAGGGGTATGGGGAGAGGTCCCCCGGGTTCAGGCAGCGGATGCGGTTCTTGTTGAGCTCCAGGATCTTGGTCTCTGTGGGGATGCCCTCGGGGATGGCAGTGAGCCGCTTGCGGTGACACACCACTGATTTGAGCTGCGGGGCACACTCGCAGCGTGCAGGGCAGGCTGCCACCTGCAGTGGGCTCAGGAGGACCAGGTGGAGGACCAGGACCAGGAACCAACATGTCATGGTGTAGAGCATGGTCTTACCGACTCTCTACCATTCTCCCATACACCTGAAAAGGAAAGAGAGGGGTGTCAGCAGCGAGTTCTATTGAGATCACCAGGCTGTGAGCTACTCCTCCTTTGGAGCAGTACCCCAAACCATGGTCCATGGCCCTGAGAAGGTCCTCATCCTGCAGGAAACACCACCGACCTCTTCTTGTGGCCTGGGGACCATACTCACTGCAAACACAGGCATAGAGCAAAGGTGGGACACCACGTCCTCCTTGCTCCCTGTGGTGGCTGTGGTTGAGTCTTGCCTGATGAAACAAATCCCACTCATCCATGGCCTATCCTTCCTGCATAGGATGGAGGACACTCAGAGCTTCATGCAGGAGCCAGTCCTCCCTTCCCCGCCCTCAACAGTGGGGCTGGGGGAAGCTGCGGGCTCAGTCTTGGCATATTATGGATTACTGCTGCCACGTCTCAATCACTGCTGCCCTCCTTTTGGAGGAATTAGCACCTTGCTGCCCATTTGCCTTTTTGCTTCTTTCCCCTTCCCCAATCTCTTTTTCCTTCTTCACTCCAGATCTCCTAGAGATGTACATCCCGGCGCTGCTGCAAAGCTCATCAACCACCTTTCCTGAACCAAGCGTTGTCATTAACCTAATTAAACAACGGGGCTGCTCGGACAGAGCATTGTGGGCTGCTTCTGGAATGCTACAGGATCCAGCCTCGGGGTGCACAGGGACGTTCCCAACCCTCTTTGTGCCCACAGCATGGAGAAGGATGCTATCTCTGTGGATAATTTCCAGCCCTGATCCTATTATACAAGCCGAGCAATTCTCCAGCAGTAAACCCATTGCTCGGTGCAATTTAGGAGCCACAGGAGATTATCTTTTAAAGACTTCTTTTTACATGTCTTAATTTCACCACGCTTTCCTGTCTCTCTGAGCCAGGAGGGAAAGCATCACCATCATCCACAGGGCATTAGCATGGGGCTGTGCGGCGCAAAGTAGGGCTCTAGGGAGGGTGGGATCACAGGTCCCACTGCTTTCCCCACTTTCTGGCCATGCATTCCTATTGCCTTTGGGATCCACGAGGAGCTGGCCGTGTGCTCATGCTTCGACTTCATCCTTGTGGTCTCTGTTTCTCCTCTCCCCGACCTGGGAAGGATGCACCCAGACTCAACCTGCAGGAGAAGTCACTATGGGTTATTAATAGCTCATTACTGTCGTAGCATCACCATCTCCGGGGCTTGCCTGGCCTCTGGGGAGTGAGGCCAATTAAGACTCAACTCAAAGGCCTAGATAGAGGCTGCTCATTACGTTTAATTTGTTTTTTAAAATAACACGCCTGCTGCTCGCTGGGCTGGGGAGCAGAGCCAGGAGAACCCAGGCTGCAGCACAGCCATGGAGCAGCGATGGAGCAGCGATGGAGCAACTGAACAGTGGGGCAGAGCTGCGCAGAAGTGGCTCCTCAGCTCCCAGGTCTCTCCTTTTCTGAATAAAGACCAGAAAACAAGCCAAGCTTGACATTTCTAGGCTCCTCTGCTTTGACAACATGCAAGTACAACTACTTCAGCTGAAGCAACGTATTGTTTTATTCTTGCATCTGCTTGCAGAATGGTCCCACTGGGGCTACCCTCAGAGACTGCTGCTTGAAGCCATTTTCACCCTTGGATTGTGCTTTAGCAGCACCCACGGGACTCCCAGCCCCATGCCCAGCAGCACCCGCAGCTGCCAACTCACATCTCCCTCCGTGCAGCTCCCAGCCGCTCAGCCCCACATCTGCAGCACTGCATGGGGCTGTTGGGAACAAAATTTGGGATTTAACACTTGGTCTTGTTGAAGCTCATCCCATCGGCCTCAGCCAAGCCATCCTCCATAGGGATTGATCCTTCCCTCAGGCAGATTGACGCTCCTTCCCCAATTGGTGTCATCTGAGGGTGCACTCAGTCCCCTACTCCAGGTGGCCAAGATACTAAGCATGGCCAGCCCCGATGGCTTCACAGAATCATAGAATTACTTGGACTGGAGGGGACCCCAATGATCAAACTTCAACCCCCACTGCTGCATGCAGGGCTGCCAACCTCCATATCTAATACCAGATCAGGCTGCCCAGGACCCCTCCCAACCTGGCCTTGAGCACCCCCAGGGATGGGGCATCCTCAACCTCTCTGGGTTTCAGGAAGACGCCTGCTGGTCACAGGCTCCTGGTCCACCAGGCTGCTCCATCTGATCCAGGGTGTAGAATCAGAGCAGCTGATGCCAGGAGCACAGGAGGTGCGATGAGAGCAGAGACACAGAGACCTGGGGGTGATGTGAGGCCAGCAGCCTCCCTGCACTGCCCCGACAAGGCTCTGGCCATCAGGCAATTAGCAACGCGAGCATGAGAACAATCCAGCTGGAACAGGGCGAGCTGAGTGCAGAAAGGAAGAAAATCAATCAGCAGAGCCAATGGAGAATTACCAAACAGAGTTATTCCTAATCCCATCAGGGTCTGCTGGGAATCCAGTGCTCCCGTCTCCGTGCATCCCAACAGATTTTCTGGGTCACTTCATTTCCAGGCTCTGCTCACCACCACGTGGAAACCCCCATCCCTCGCAACGGCTGCGAGGCCCCGGAATGAAGGATTCCCAACACCAAGGAGACAGCCCCAAAGAAGGCACTGCTTATTTTTAGAGACAACCTTATGATTGTTGAGCATGTGGCCCAGGCAACACCGCGCAGGCAGCCACAGATTGGCCGCAATCTGCTCTTCTTCTTGATAGACATCACGTCTGAATTTCTATCTCTGCAAGATGCTCTCTGGAGAGAAGACATTTCGATACGACCACAAAGTACAACGTTTCCAAAAGGTCACTGCGGCGGGTGCAGGTGGTTGGTGTTCCATGAGTGTCATCATTGCTTTCCAAGGCTTCGGGTGGGGGGCAGCAGCCCTCGGTTACCATTGGGGTTTGCCCAGTGAGTTTCTGCTGTGCAAGGAGAAGTTTTAATTTGCAGAAGCCTGCATTCCTGCAACTTTGTGTGGTTATTTCCCCAAAACTTCACCGCCTGCTCATTGCAGCCTGCACAGCACACTGAGATGGATTCGCATGGAGGGGGGCTCGATGGATCTCCAAGCATGGGATCCCCAGGCTGTGCTTGCGGATGGCAACAGGAACCACCTCCCGTTGCCACCCACCTCCTGCAGGCACATCACCCAACGCAGCACCCAAGCACCCAGACCACTGTGCCACCTCATCACGGCCACCTGGGGAGGGGACCCTGTGCCTTCACTCCGAGCCAGGCAGCTTTGTGATAAATGAAGTGCGGGAGCAGGATGATTAATAACCATTTCAGAACAGCATACGCTGTAATTATCCACCTTTCAGAGAGCTGATTAATGATGCTGCTCAGGGGCATGAAGAGCCCCCACTCTCACCCTGGCTGGGTGCAGGCTCTGGGTGCTGAGGATTTTACTGCTGCTGCCCCAGGAATGCTCCAGTTTGGTCCAGCGCTTCCATCCAGCTGGATGAGGCTGTGCATTAAGCTCAGGCTCCCAGCTGGGATCGCTGGGTTGGTGAAACCTCCAAATTCCTCACCTGGTGGCACCCCATGCGAGATGCTGTGCAAAATGCAGACAACAAGGATGCTCCAGGGGCACAGGAACCCCCCCCAGATCAGCACCCGAGGGATGGATCCCTGCATAGGGTCCTCGGGGTGCTGCAGGCCCTCAGCAGAGCTCTATGGGGCCAGCCACCCCGCATGGGCACCGCATCACTGCCAAAGCTCTGATTTGAGCAGACAGATGGATTTGTGGGCAGGAGGAGAAGAACGACAGGGCAGTTGGACAGACAGATGTCTGCTCTGAAGACAAGGTGGAGAGGCAGCCATGGGTGGAAAACAGCCTGAGCCCGTCAGGACCGCTCTGCTTTCCATGGGAAAACAAGTTGGCGGCTCAGAGGGGCAGCAGCTGCTGATCCACAGCCCCCGACCTCCCATAAAAACCCACTCAAGGCAGAGATCCCTGTAGGGCAGTGCGGTCCATCTGCCTTTCAGCTCTGCTCAGCATCAGTCCGGGGCTGGATGCCTTTTTTAAGACATGTCTACAGCTGCTGTGCTTGAAATGCTATCGCCGTCCCAGTGATGATGATGGGAGCAGCGAGTGAAGAAAGTAAAATGCCATGAAAGGGAGAAATAACACTCCACTTCGCAATGCACACCCTCATCTTGCCAGGCAGGGTGTATATTGCAACCTAGACCCAACTAGCTTTGTTTCATTAAGAGGAGGCAGATTGGGGGCAGGGGACATTTTCTCAGCCCTATGGAGAGCAGATCTCAAACCCACACCGCAGCCGGTTGGGTGGACGGATGGATGCAGTGAACCTGGGTAGGAAGCAGTACAGATTTGCATTTCTGGAGGATGCAGCCCTGAACCCGGGAGCAGAGCAGCCCAGGGGCTCCTGCTGTGCTGCCCCAATGACTTCTCCGTGCCGGGAGCTGCAGAGAATGGGGACATTTGGAGCACGAGATGCTGGCATTGGTCCCCAGATTGGCAGCTTCAGGGCATCAGCTGTGGCTGAAGCAGGCAAGCATCACCGTTCCCATCTGCAGCCCCAGAGAGGCTCCCCAAACCCTGAGCTCTCCATCTGGGGCAACGGGCAGAGATTTCTCAGCCGTTCCATGGAACAAACCTGGACACAGCAGCACTGAGCTGTCAGTGCTGCAGCACCAATGCCACGAGGAGCACCCGGAGCCGAACCCCCGCAGATGGAGACCCCCTGTGCTCACCGTTCTGCAGGTCCAGGGCTGCGCTGACAGCTGGCATCTGCGAGGCTGGGCAGGTTTACATGGCGAAGTGTGGAGCACGGCCAGAGCCCTTTCCTCTGGATAAAACAGCACAGGAAGAAGAGCATGAATCCCCTCCTGCAGCACCCAGCACCCCAAACAGATACCCAAAGCGCAGTCACATCCCGGAGAGGGGAAGCAGACTTAGCTTTGCTCCACCCCAGTGTGTGAGCTGGCTGTTGCACCTCCCCTCGTTATACATATGTAT